TCCATTTGAACTTATTAACCTGGTTTTCTACTGTACCAGCCATACTACCCGCAAAACTAGCCAATCGTAGAAATCTGGATACGTATTCGGATATGGATTCGTCTTCTTTCTGTTTGAGTGTAGCGTACTCTTGAACATACGCTTCTTTGTCTGCCGCAGTAAAGTATTGCTGATAGAAAACATATTTGAATCCCAGCCAGGTTAAATTTTCAAAAGCTATATCCCCTCCGTAAGATTGTTTCCAAGCTTGCCACCAGCGATTAGCATCACCTTCAAGTTTATAAGTAGCTAGTTCCACTCGAATTCTATCAGAACAACCCAAGACTCGGAATACCTTTTCAAGATGTGATATCCAATCTTCGGYGTCAACAGGAGTGGCTGCTGAAGTAAAAGTATGAGGCTTTTGTTTATGAAACCTCCCCAACCATTGATGAATATCAGCAAGTTCATTACTAGTTCCCTGATCTCTGTATTCTGGCCCGTAGTTCCCAGTATTAGGATTCTGATTTTCACCAGGCAATGCTTCCACCGTCTGTGCTATAATACCTGGTAGCATGTCGGTAATTGTTTGTTGGACAGCTGCCATCACATTAGGATTAAGTTGAGTTGTTGGCGGAGGATTTGTTTCATTTTCAGACCCAGTTCGACTTCTTGTCTATCTGTTATTGCCAGTATTCTTCTTGGCGGCATTTGGAACTAACACAAATAATAGGAAACCATTTGCTCGATTAATTTCAAAAAGAAACAAAGCATACAAGATTTCAAAAAGTTAACATGTATAAGGCTTAGGATAGTCCTATCTTAGTTCTACCCATTCCTCACAGTTCAAACCTAAATTGTACTACATGATCATAACCTATAGCTCTGATACCACAACTTGTAACACCCCCTTCCCACATGGTCAAAGACGGGAGATGCCACAATTGAAATAAAACAAATAACGTGCTATATAAAACAGAGCGGCTAATAAAATTTACCAAAAGATAATTACATAACCACAAACGGAGATAACGTGTCTCAAAATACGGTCCCAAAATATCAACATGTCTACATTCGTCATCAAAAGTTTAACAAAAGTATGACTTAATGGGTTATCTTCAATATTGTCATCTCCGTAGCTCTCATCC